ATTAACCCGTATGGCATGACGAGATACTCGTAATGACCCGAGGTGGTGCTAAATGCTGTTTTCCATTCATCCCCCTCCCCAATGCGCACCAGATTGTATGCGCTCCTGAGATCCAACTTTGTGAAGAACCGCGCTCCGCGTAATGACTCCGTCATCGTCGCAATCAGTGGAAGTGGGTAACTGTATTTAACTGTGATCTGATTGAGACTACGGTAATCAATACACGGGCGCAATCCCCCGTCCTTCTTCTTCACAAAGAAGAAACTCGAGGAGACCGGGGAAGTGGAGGACCGTATGTATCCCTGTGCCAAGGACTCGGCTATGTAAGTCTCCATAGCCGCTGTTTCCTCTTGAGACAGGGGATACACACGACTCCGGGGAAGAGCTGCTCCTGTCTGGAGATTTATCGCACAGTCCCCTTGTCTATGAGGAGGTAGCCGTGCTGCCCTCGATTTGCTAAACACGAGTGCTAAATCCTCATACTCAGGGGGAATGCGCAGTGTGGGCACTTGGTTCGGACTCTCTACCGAGGTCGCCCCTACGGAAACACCTAGACATCTCCCTACACACTGGGCAGACCACTCCATAAGAGCCCTCTGTTGCCACGCTATGGTAGGATCATGGGTGCTTAACCAGGGAAGGCCCAACACCACGGGGTACGCAGGAGAGTCAATCAGATAAAACTGAATGATCTCCTCATGACCCCCCTGCGTCGTCATCGTCAGTGGTGCTGTGACATCCCTGATCAGACCCGACCCCAACGGCCGGCTGTCTAATGCGTGGACAGGAAATGGAGCTTCTACCGGCTGAAGGGGAATTCCTAACCTACCACAAAATGCCTGATCAATAAAGTTCCCAGCTGCGCCTGAATCTACTAGCGCCTTATGCTGGGAATGAGGTGCCACCTGTGGAAATCTCACAGGAATACTCATGTGACCAACAGAAAGATCTGTGTAAGCGGGCCGCCTACTCACCTGAAATGACTCCCCAGTGCGTGGCCTGTTGTCACCTCTCCCAGGAGACCCTCCCCAGCACCTGGCCGCGGTGTGTCCTCCACGACCACAGGTGGTGCAGGGGATGGCCCCCCTCGGGTTCCCTCTCCTCCTCTCTCTAGCGCCAGCACCCCCGAGCTCCATGGGAATCGGCTCGGAGGTGCTGGAGGGTGGAATGGACGACCCCCACTCGGGACGTCCGCGGGTAGCCAGCAGGGTGTCTAGACGGATGGAAATGTCCACCAACTGGTCGAACGACAGGTTGGTGACCCTGCAGGCCAGCTCACGACGAACGTCCTCTCGTAGGCTACACCGGTAGTGGTCGATGAGGGCCCTCTCATTCCACCCCGCATCCGCCGCTAGTGTCCGGAACTCCAGTGCGAACTCCTGTGCGCTCCTCTTCCCCTGTCGGAGGTGGAACAGACGCTCTCCCGCCGCTTTCCCCTCAGGTGGATGATCGAAGACAGCCCTGAAGCGGCGGGAGAACTCCGCGTAGGTGATGGTTGCGGCGTCTATTCCCCTCCATTCGGCGTTGGCCCACTCCAACGCCTTGCCGGATAGACAGGAGATGAGGGCGGAGACGCTCTCGTATCCCGAGGGCGCCGGGTGTATGGTGGCAAGGTAAAGTTCCACCTGCAGGAGGAATCCCTGACACCCGGCTGCAGAACCGTCATATGCCCTCGGGAGCGAGAGCCGAATGCCACTGGGTTCCGGTGCTGAGAGAGGAGGACTGGCCGTTGGTGATGGGATGTTGTAAGAGTGCGTGGGCACCTCTCGATTCACCAATCGGCGCAGAGTGTTGGACACCTCTTCCATGGCGGCCCCGAGTTGCGGATCATGGTGTCCTGGTAGTTGATCCGGTCCTCCAGGGATTCGGGTGCCGCCGCTGTTCCTGCTGACTCCATGGTGGTGTGTTGTTCTGTCACTAAACCGATGTGGATGTGGTGGAGGAGTCAGGCGCAGGACACTGAGGTTAAGTCCAACAGTATTTAATAGTCCAAAGTATAATAGGAAAACCTCCGACCTCAAAAACACAAAGAGGCGAGGGAAAATTACGCACACGCGTAAACACTAAAACACAAAACAAAACAGGGAGCAAAGACGTAGCTCCGACACTGTGGCAGCAATTAACAACACACAATCATACTAGAACAAAACAAGGAACTTATAAGACACGCAATCAACACACAAATGGACACAGGTGATACAGACAGACAAAAGCAATCGAATGACGAAACATAGAGCGGTGGCAGCTAGTACTCCGGGGACGGCGATCGCCGAAGCCTGCCCGAACCAGGAGGAGGAGCAGCCTCGGCCGAAACCGTGACACTCCTGAACGTATTTAGGCTTGCCATTACAAAGGGGTTGAGTACTTAAGACATTTCAGCTTTCATTTTTAATTCATTTGTAAAAATGTCTAAAAACATAATTCCACATTGACATTATGGGGTATTGTGTGTAAGCCAGTGACACAAAATCTCAATTTAATCCATTTTCAATTCAGGCTGTAACACAACAAAATGTCAAAAAAGTCAAGGGGTGTGAATACTGTCTGAAGGCACTGTATATATACACTGAACAAAAATATAAATGCCACATGCAACAATTTCAAAGATTTTACTGAGTAACTGTTCATATAAGGAAATCAGTCAATTGAAATAAATTCATTAGGCCCTAACCTATGGATTTCACATGACTGGGAATACAGATATGCATCTGTTGGTCACAGATACCGTAGGGGTGTGGATCAGAAAACCAGTCAGTATCTGGTGTGACCACCATTTGCCTCATGCAGCGTGACACATCTCCTTCGCATTGAGTTGATCAGGCTGTTGATTGTGGCCTGTGGAATGTTGTCCCACTCCTCTTCAATTGCTGTGCGAAGTTGCTGGATATTGGCGGGAACTGGAACACGCTGTCATATACGTCAATCTAGAGCATCCCAAACATGCTCAATGGGTGACATGTCTGGTGAGTATGCAGGCCATGGAAGAACTGGGACATTTTCAGCTTCCAGGAATTGTGTACAGATCCTTGCAAGATGGGGCCGTGCATTATCATACTGAAACAGGAGGTGATGGCGGCGGATGAATGGCACAACAATGGGCCTCAGGATCTCGTCACGGTATCTCTGTGCATTCAAATTGCCATCGATAAAATGCAATCGTGTTCATTGTCCGTAGCTTATACCTGCCCATACCATAACCCCACTGCCACCATGGGGCACTCTGTTTACAACATTGACATCAGCAAACCGCTCGCCCATACAACGCCATACACAATGTCTGCCATCTGCCCGGTACAGTTGAAACCGGGATTCATCCATGAAGAGCACACTTCTCCAGCATGCCAGTAGCCATCGAAGGTGAGCATTTGCCCACTGAAGTTGGTAATGAAGCTGAACTGCAGTCAGGTCAAGACACTTGTGAGGACGACCAGCATGCAGATGAGCTTCCCTGAGACGGTTTCTGACAGTTTGTGCAGAAATCCTTTGGTTGTGCAAACCCACAGCTTCATCAGCTGTCCAGGTGGCTGGTCTCAGATGTTGGATGCGGCTTATGGTAGAGAAATGAACATTCAATTCTCTGGAAACAGCTCTGGTGGACATTCCTGCAGTCAGAATGTAAATTGCAATCTCCCTCAAAACTTGAGACATATGTGGCATTGTGTTTTGTAACAAAACTGCACATTTTAGAGTGGAATTATTTTTATTTTGCATTTATTAAGGATCCCCATTAGCTACTCTTCCTGGGGTCCAGCAACATAAGGCAGTTATATATAATTACAAATATTATATTACAGTACATTTCATAACACTTTTCACAACATATTAACTGTGTGCCCTCAGGCCACTACTCTACTACCACATATCTACAATACAAAATCCATGTGTACGTGTGTACAGTGCCAACCAGGGTTACTCCAATCACCTCAACTTGCTCAATTTCCACAGTATTCATTACAAGATTTAGTTAGGTTTAGGGTTTAGTGAATGATTTGTCCCAAATACAATGTTTTTAGTTTTTGAAATATTTAGGACTAACTTATTTATTGCCATCCACTCTGAAACTAACTGCAGCTCTTTGTTAATTGTTGCAGTAATTTCACTCGCTGTAGTAGCTAACGAGTATAGTGTTGAGTCATCCGCATACATAAACATACTGGCTTTACTCAAAGCCAGTGGCATGTCGTTAGTAAAGATTGATAAACGTAAGGGGCCTAGACAGCTGCCCTGGAGAATTCCTGATTCTACCTGGATTGTGTTGGAGAGGCTTCCATTAAAGAACACCCTCTGTGTTCTGTTAGACAGGTAACTCTTTATCCACAATATAGCAGGGGGTGTAAAGCCATAACACACACGTTTTTCCAGCAGCAGACTATGATCGATAATGTCAAAAACCACACTGAAGTCCAACAAAACAGCTCCCACAATATTCCTATCATCAATTTGTCATTTGTGTAAGTTGCATGTGCATGTTGAATGCCCTTCCCTATAAGCATGCTGAAAGTCTGTTGTCAATTTGTTTACTGTAAAATAGCATTGTATCTGGTAAACACGTTTTTTTCCAAAAGTTTACTAAGGGTTGTTAACAGGCTGATTGGTCGGCTATTTGAGCCAGCAAAGGGGGCCTTACCATTCTTGGGTAGCGGAATGACTTTTGCTTCCCTCCAGGCCTGAGGGCACACACTTTCTTGTCGGCTTAGATTGAAGATATGGCAAATAGGAGTGGTAATATCGTCCACTATTATCCTCAGTAAATTCCATCCAAGTTGTCAGACCCCGGTGGCTTGTCATTGTTGATAGACAACAATCATTTTTTCACCTCTTCCACACTCACTTTAAGGAATTCAAAATTACAAAGCTTGTCTTTTATAATTTGGTCAGATATACTTGGATGTGTAGTGTCAGCGTTTGTTGTTGGCATGTCATGCATAAATTTGATAATCTTGCCAATGAAAAAGTCATTATAGTAGTTGCCAATATCAGTGGAACCAACATTTTCCTCCACGAATTAAATGCAACGCACAGTTTTATACAGAGCCATGATCGCATGGAACTCCCTTCCAAACATCAAAATGACATTTAAAAAACAGATTAAAGAACAACTCATGGAACGGCAGGGACTGTAAGGCGACACACAAACACACTAACACAAAACATTTTTTGTATTGTTTGTATTTTTTTGTTGCATTGTTTGTATATCATTAGATTTTACATTTGTGTTACTGTCCTTATCTGTCAATGTATCAGTGTTTTGTTACTTGTCATGTTTTGTGTTTTTTTGTGGAACCCAGGAAGAGTAACTGCTGCTTCTGAAAAAGCTAATGGGGATCCAAATAAACAAATAAACATAGACATGTTCACTATTGCCTTGTTTTATTTGATGTAAGTTCCTTCTATATATGTTGGTGTGTACATTAAACCGTGTTTTTATAAGATCATACTGATGGTTCCTTGGTCACAGTCCTTGGTCTTGTCTGACCTCATCACCACTCTGGATGAGCAGGCGTTTCTGTCCACCACCAGCTCACACTCTGAAGGGAGATTCACCACCGTTGGGATCCTGAGATGGAAAGATAGGTAGAAGGGAGAGGGGGAGAGGGGAGAGGGGGGGAGGCGGAGCGCAGGGTGGAAGAGCTGAGGCGAGGGTCGAAGGAATACGGGAGAGAGGGAGAGGCAGAAGATTAGAGGGTAGGAAGGGAGGGGGAAGAGAGAGGGGGAGGTAGAGGAATAAGGGAGAGGGGTGTTGAGGTAGAAGGGAGAGGGGGAGAGTAGAAGGAAGAAGGGGAGAGGGGTGAGAGGTAGAAGGGAGAGGGAGGTTAGAGGGAGAGAGATGGTAGAAGGAAGACGGGAGATGGGGGTGAGGTAGGAAAGGGAGAGGGGGCGAACGAGGAGAGAGGTAGCAGGAAGACGGGAGGAGAGGGAGGGTGAAGGTTGAAAGGGAGAGGGGAGAACGGTGAGACGGAAGAAGGGAGAGGGGGTGAGGGAGATAGGCGAGAGGGGGAGATGGGTGGGAGAGGTCGAAAGGAGAGGGAGGTAGAAGGGAGAAGGGAGAGGGGGAGAGGTAGAAGGAGACGGGAGGAGGGAGAGGTAGAAGGGAGAGAGGGAGAGAGGGAGAGGTAGAAGGAAGACGGGAGAGAGGGAGAGGTAGAAGGGAGAGGGGGAGAGGTAGAAGGAAGAAGGAGGGTAGAAGGGAGAGGGGGAGAGGGGGGAGAGAGGTGGGTGGTGACAGAGAGAGAAAAGGAAGAAGGGAGAGGGGGAGAAGGAGAGGTAGAAGGGAGAGGGGGAGAGGTAGAAGGAAGACGGGAGAGAGGGAGAGGGGGAGAGGTAGAAGGGAGAGAGGGAGAGGTAGAAGGAGAGAGGAGAGAGAAAGAGAAAGGGAGAGAGAGGGGCGGTGGTTGGGAGGGAGAGGGGGTGAGAGAGTGGGGGTGGAGACAGATCGAGGGTGAGAGAGAGAGCGGGGGGTGGAGACAGAAAGGGAGAGGGAGAAAGAGAGAGAGGGAGAGGGGGAGAGAGAGAGGGGGAGAGAGAGAGGGGGTGAAGACAGATCGAGAGAGAGCGAGAGGGGGGGTCAAATCAGGCTCTTGTTTGCTGAGTTCCATCTCTCAATATAACTAGTGCATCTCTCAGAGAAGTATAGACAGATAGGGTTATACTCATGCCAATAAAGCTTATTTGAATTTGAAAGAGATATTTGGTGTTACTTGTTGCAGCAGCCAATGCCTTCCTCGGAGCAGGAACAGTCGTAGCAGTCCTTCACCCATGAAGAACCGAACACATGCTGCTTTCCCTCCTTATCCACACACCCTACACACACACACACACACACACACACACACACACACACACACACACACACACACACACACACACACACACACACTCACCAGTTTAAGCAACATGACCTAACGCATACAGCATCACACCCTCCTTATCCTGGTTACAGTGCTAACATTACTGTCGAATTAACATTGTAATAGTATTGTAGTAGTATTGTAATAGTATTGTAATAGTATTGTAATAGTATTGTAATAGTATTGTAATAGTATTGTAATAGTATTGTAAAAGTATTGTAGTAATATTGTGGTAGTATAGTACTAGACTCACCCTTTGGTGGAGGAGTCTTGGAGTCTTTGGTCTCCAGCCCCTGGAAGAAGCATTGAGCTCGGCACACGACCACCAACGCCAGAACACACACTACCACACGGACGAGAGAACCCTGAAACAGACACACGATTGGTCGATTGCAACAAACACTAAATAATTTTGCGCGCTCCTGCAGGTTAGCGCTGGATTTCTTTCGTTAAATATTATATCCACGAGTTCACTCTGAGGGAGTAGATAAAGGGCTTCATTGGGGTTAGGGTTAGTTAAATATTATATCGAGTAGATAAAGGGCTACGAGTTCACTCTGAGGGAGTAGATAAAGGGCTTCATTGCCAAAATCCCGAATGATCCCTTTAAAATGCTACTGACGGGAGATTACATTCACCTGCATGATAAAACAAACTTGCTTGCAACCAAAAACCCACAATAATAAACTAACAGATCAGTTGGTCTCATTGTTATTGTGTCAAGTGATTATGATACCAGACAGCTGCATCTAGGTTCCCTACTCCTGCCCCCAATGAAATATTGACCTATCAGGAGCATCGGAAACCGTAAGGCAGATGAATGTAAAAATACTTAGACTTGATTTAGGGCTCTATTCCTTCCGTATCGCGGAAAATCAGCGTTACAGCGCGATAGACAGTTATAAACAATGTTCCCGTGGTCACGGAGACTGCATTCATGCTGCATATGTCGGCTCAATCGGAAATTAGACTACCAGTCAAAAGTTTTAGAACACCTTCTCATTCAAGGGTTTTTCTTTATTTTTACTATTTTCTACATTGTATAATAATAGTGAAGACATCAAAACTATGAAATAACACATAGGGAATCATGTACTAACCGAAAAAGTGTTAAACAAATGAAAATATATTTTATATTTGAGATTCTTCAAATAGCCACCCTTTGCTTTGATGACAGCTTTGCACACTCTTGGCATTCTCTCAACCAGCTTCATGAGGTAGTCACATGGAATGCATTTCAATTAACAGGTGTGCTTTCTTAAAAGTTAATTTGTGGAATTTCTTTCCTTCTTAATGCATTTGAGCCAATCAGTTGTGTTGTGACAAGGTGGGGGGGGCAAGAACAGCTCAAAAAAGCAAAGAGAAACGACAGTCCATCATTACTTTAAGGCATGAAGGTCAGTCAATACGGAACATTTCAATAACTTTTAGTGCAGTCGCAAAAACCATCAAGCGCTATGATGAAACTGGCTCTCATGAGGAATGGAAGACCCAAAGTTACCTATGCTGCAGAGAATAAGTTCATTAGTGTTACCAGCCTAAGAAATTGCAGCCCAAATAAATGCTTCACAGAGTTCAAGTAACAGTCACATCTCAACATCAGCTGTTCAGAGGAGACTGTGTGAATCAGGCCTTCATGGTCGAAAGGACACCAATAATAAGAAGAGACTTGCTTGGGCCAAGAAACACGAGCAATGGACATTAGACCGGTGGATATTTGTCCTTTGGTCTGGAGTCTAAATTGGAGATTTTTGGTTCCAACCACTGTGTCTTTGTGAGACACGGTGTGGGTGAACGGATGATCTCCGCATGTGTATTTCCCACCGTAAATCATGGAGGAGGAGGTGTTATGGTGTGGGGGTGCCTTGCTGGTGACACTGTCTGTGATTTATTGAGAATTCAAGGCACACTTAACCAGCATGGCTACCACAGTATTCTGCAGCGATAAGCCATCCCATCTGGTTTGGGCTTAGTGGGACTATCATTTGTTTTCAGCAGGACAATGACCCAACACACCTCCAGGCTGTGTAAGGGCTATTTTACCAAGAAGGAGAGTGATGGAGTGCTGCATCAGATGACCTGGCCTCCACAATCCCCCGACCTCAACCTAATTGAGATGGTTTGGGTTGAGTCGGACGGCAGAGTGAAGGAAAAGCAGCCAACAAGTGCTCAGCATATGTGGGAACTCCTTCAAGACTGTTGGAAAAGCATTCCAGGTGAAGCTTGTTGAGAGAATGCCAAGAGTGTGCAAAGCTGTCATCAAGACAAAGGGTGGCTATAAAATATATTTTGATTTGTTTAACACTTTTTTGGTTACTACATGATTCCATATGTGTTATTTCCTAGTTTTGATGTCTTCACTATTATTCTACAATGTAAAACATTGTAAAATAAAGAAAAACCCTTGAATGAGAAGGTGTTCTAAAACTTTTGACAGGTAGTGTACCTTAAAAATGTTACTTGATTTTCCGCGATACTTCGGCAATACGGATTGAATCCAGCCCTTAGTTACACATTTCAAAAATGGACCGTCCAGGGATACGTTCCCCTGATCTTGATAAGAAATGACGATCTTTTTTTACGAAAACATTATTTTTATAGATGGATTACATAAATTGGAAACAAAAAATAAATAATAATAAGCCAACAGTATTTGTATAGTATTTAGTATACAGTTTCCAGTCATACAAGGTGAATTGCCACAGTAGATTTGCCAACGTCAACGAGGAAATACTTTATTTCAGTTATACGGAATGATTGTCAAATAGATAATTCGCCCCTAAAAAGCAGGATTCATTGGGTCCCATGATAATACCCACCGGGGGTGAAATATTCTTTCAAAATGTTGGCAACGATCAGGACTAAAAGTGAAACCTGACATCTGCTTTAAGGAACATTCAATTGGTGGTGAATGAGACCTGTGCGGGTGATTTTAGTGCGTTAGGGTTAGGGTTAGGGTTAGGTTGTTTCAATAGGCCCTCAGCGTTCACTGACAGACTCAACACAGCGCTCACACACACACAGCGCTCACATATTTACTTATTAAATACTTATTAATAAACGTCTGATATTAAAGTTGAAATAATAAAGCCAATTCATAACTGATATCATTTCACATGTGATACGTAATAACTTATAATCTCTCATAACAGAGAGGCCCTACTCTAGGGTCCTTACTAAATTATGTGGGTTAGGGTACGTACCATGCTGACAGAAGTCTTCTTGTCAAAATGCAAGTTGAAGTGTTTTATGTCTCCCCGTTCACAGCTTTATATAAGATAGTAACACCCCTCTCAAAGTCTTTATATCACACAATAGTGAAAACACCCCTCCCAATGTCTTTATATCACACAGTAGTGAAAACACCCCTCCCAATGTCTTTATATAAGCTAGTACACACATCTAGAGGTCACCTGCTCTCCCCAAAGCTCTATATACAGAGCAAATTTCCCCATAACTCTTATGTCTATAAATCTCTGAACAACAGGGAACCAGTATTTGTTTAAGGCAGGGCTGGAAGAGTAAATATGACTCAAATACACAGTCCAGAAAGGCCATGTCTCTTCAGTTTTGACTGATTAACTTTTGCACAGTTGAGAAAGTGTCTGTATTTACAAGAGCGGTTGAAACACATATCTAGCTATACATACACATATATATACACATACCTAGCTATACATACACATACACAGATACATATACACTACCGTTCAAAAGTTTGGGGTCACTTAGAAATGTCTTTGTTTTCGAAAGAAAAGCAATTTTTTTGTTCATTAAAATAACATCAAATTGATCAGAAATACAGTGTAGACAATGTTAATGGCTATTGTAGCTGGAAACGGCTGATTTTTAATGGAATATCTACATAGGCGTACAGAGGCCCATTATCAGCAACCATCAGTCCTGTGTTCCAATGGCACGTTGTGTTTCATATTTATTTATTTTACCTTTATTTAACTAGGCAAGTCAGTTAAGAACAAATTCTTATTTACAACGTCAGCCTACACCGGCCGAACCCGGATGACGCTGGGCCAATTGTGCGCCACCCTGTGGGACTCCCAATCATAGCCGGTTGTGATACAGCCTGGAATCGAACCAGGGGCTCTGTAGTGACGCCTCAAGCGCTGAGATGCAGTGCCTTAGACCGCTGCGCCACTCAGGAGCCCATCCAAGTTGATCATTTTAAAAGGATAATTGGTCATTAGAAAACCCTTTTGCAATTATGTTAGCACAGCTGAAAACTGTTGTGCTTATTATAGAAGCAATAAAACTGGCCTTCTTGAGACTAGTTGAGTATCTGGAGCATCAGCAATTGTGGGTTTGATTACAGGCTCAAAATGGCCAGAAACAAATAACTTTCTTCTGAAACTCGTCAGTCTATTCTTGTTCTGAGAAATGAAGGCTATTCCATGGGAGAAATTGCCAAGAAACTGAAGATCTCGTACAACGCTGTGTACTACTCCCTTCACAGAACAGCGCAAACTGGTTCTAACCAGAATAGAAAGAGGAGTGGGAGGCCCTGGTGCACAACTGAGCAAGAGGACAAATATATTGGATTGTCTAGTTTGAGAAACAGACGCCTCACAGGTTCTCAACTGGCAGCTTCATTAAATAGTACCTGCAAAACACCAGTCTCAACGTCAACAGTGAAGAGGCACACTCCGGGATGCTGACCTTCTAGGCAGAGTTGCAAAGAAAAATACATATCTCAGACTGGCCAATAAAAAGAAAAGGGCAAAAGAACACAGACACTTGACATAGGAAGATTGCAAAAAAAAAGTGTTATGGACAGACTAATCGAAGTTTGAGGTGTTCGGATCACAAAGAAGAACATTTGTGAGATGCAGACCAAATGAAAAGATGCTGGAGGAGTGCTTGATGCCATCTGTCAAACATGGTGGAGGCAATGTGATGGTCTGGGGGTGCTTTGGTGGTGGTAGAGTGGGAGATTCGTACAAAGGGATTTTGAAGAAGGAAGCCTCAGCTAGGCCTAAAAGGGTTCAAATCAGAACTGGACCTGCAGCTTGAATGTAACTATGTGTTTTTTATGGTTTTAACAGAATGGGCTATGAATTTTGGGCTAGTTGGCTTCTAAACGAGTTGTACAATGTAAGTTTGGTGTCAGTATGATATCTTATTGACTGATGGCTGACTTGATGGCTGACTGTCCAATTGCAGTATAATATATTGGCATTGTCCATATGTTATATTGATAATGGACAGCGTCCATTACCCATATGTTTAAACAGGGAGTTACCATCACCAAATGGACAGGCTAAAATCATCACTGAACGGCAAACAAACGGCATCACTATAGTCTCTAGGCCGTACCGAGTTCAATGAGGTTCATGTAGTTTGACCCATCTGAGTTGTTCCCTTAGGATAACATTGGATTACAGATTATGCTCTAACTCTGCTTCTGTTTATGCAATTTGCAAAGTTCCTTTTGCCACATGTTCAGGGTCACCGGTAGCTCTACAGATATATTAATTAATATGAATAGAGTACATGGTCCCCTTCATATCCTAAACAGGAAGTATGAACTTGCAATATATCATATGGCAAATGCCACTGTAACATATTGCAATTGGACAGCAATCAAGTCAGCCATCTCATTGCTTAAAATCATTATAAACAGTCAAAAGACAGAACATATGAATTGTATTTGTATAGTAGAGTGTCCCAGTAGTGGACAGTAGTATTACTTTAAACCCTTTTAACTGCATGTCCAATTTGGTGATGGTAAATCCCTGTTGAAACATATTGGCACTGGCAATATATCATATGGCAAAAAGATACTGTCCATTTCCAATATGTTTCAACAGGGATTTACCATCACCAAATGGACAGGCTGAAATCAACACCAACGAGCAAGGGAGAGGAACAACTATCACTGCTAGGCCGTTCCGAGTTCAACGATGTGCACCACTTGACCGTAGCTCGCTCGGTCTGACTGCAGCGACTGTGCAAATAAGAAGGCCAAAATGAAGCCTGACTAGTAGTGATTTCAACATGATTTTGACATATTGCGGCCTCTGGGTTACACAGAGACACGTCGTTTTTGACTGGGTCATCGAGGGGAGTTTGGGGTGGAAAAGCCACAGAGTTATTCTAGCTGTGTGCAGCGGTTCATTCAGTTTGACCCATCTGAGTTGTTCTCTTAGGATAACATTGGTTTACAGTTTATGCTCTAACTCTGCTTCTGATTATGCAATTTGCAAAGTTCCTTTTGCCACGTGTCAGGGTCAACTTTAGCTCTACAGATATCAATATGAATAGAGTACATGATCCCCTTCATATCCTAAACGGGAAGTATGAACTTTACCATCAACAAATGAACAGGCTGAAATCAACAAACGGACAGGCTGAAATCAACACTGAAAGGCAAATGAATCTTATCACTATAGGCTCTGAGCCGTTTCAAGTTCAACTTTGTGCCACACTTGACCGTAGCTCGCTCGGTCTAACTGCAGCGACTGTGCAAATAAGTAGGCCCGGAATGAAGCCTGACTAGTAGTGATTTCAACATTATTTTGACATATTGCGGCCTCTGGGTCACACAGAGATACGCCGTTGTCGACTGGGTCATTGGGGGGAGGTTGGGGTGGACCAGCCACAGAGTTATTCTAGCTGCGTGCGGCGGTTCATTCAGTTTGACCCATCTGAGTTGTTCCCTTAGGATAAGATTGGTTTACAGGTTATGCTTTAACTCTGCTTCTGTTTATGCAATTTGCAAAGTTCCTTTTGCCATGTGTTCAGGGTCACCTTTAGCTCTACAGGTATTAATATGAATAGAGTACATGGTCCCCTTCATATCCTAAATGGGAAGTATGTACTTGCAATATATCATATGGCAAATGCCATTGTAACATATTGCAATTGGACAGCAATCAAGTCAGCCATCTCATTGCTTAAAATCATCATAAACAGTCAAAGGACAGCACATTTTAATTGTATTTGTACAGTAGAGTGTCCCAGTAGTGGACTTTATTAGTTTAAACCCTTTAACTGCATGTCCAATTCGTGATGGTAAATGCCCATTGTAACATTTTGCTTATGGACAGTGTCCATTTGCCATATGATATATTACCAGTGCCAATATGTTATACTGGACATATTGGCACTGGCAATGTGTCATATGGCAAATGGATACTGTCCATAACCAGTTGTTTCCTTAGGATAACATTGGTTTAAAGGTTATGCTCTAACTCTGCTTCTTTTTATGCAATTTGCAAAGTTCCTTTTGCCACGTGTTCAGGGTCACCTTTAGCTCTACGGATATGAATATGAATAGAGTACATTTTGTTCATTGACAATAACAATTACTCTGCTAATTGGACAGTCCATTAGATATAATACATGCCAGTCTTAACATGTTATACTGCTATTGGACAGTGTCCATTGCCAGTGTCCATTGCCTGAGTGGCGCAGTGGTCTAAGGCACTGCATCACAGTGCTAACTGTGCCACTAGAGATCCTGGTTCGAATCCAGGCTCTGTCGCAGCCGGCCGCGACCAGGAGACTCATGGGCGGCGCACAATTGGCCCAGCGTCGTCCAGGGTAGGGGAGGGAATGGCCGGCAGGGATGTAGCTCAGTTGATAGAGCATGGCGTTTGCAACGCCAGGGTTGTGGGTTCGATTCCCACGGGGGGCCAGTATAAAAGAAATAATAACAAAATATGTATTCACTAATTGTAAGTCGCTCTGGATAAGAGCGTCTGCTAAATGACAAAAATGTAAATGTAATAAGGACTTCCCATTACGAAATGAACATGTTGAAATTAACACCAACAAGAAATTCTGATTTCCTATGACTTCCTATGATTAAACATGACAAATAGACCTTCTCGGTTGATTCAGGACTTAACATACTGATAAATAACATTTGGTCATTAGATAGGCCATTTGGACATGGTTCACTGACTTTTGGGTTTGGAACTGACTTCCTATGATACTATCATACATGGCAAATGGGCATAACATCCTGATTTAGTACTTTCAATACTTACATATGCCATTTGCACATTATATATGCCATTTGTTCATGGTTCACTAACTTTTGGATTCAGAACCTGTTGTGGAAAATAATCACTATACTTTATTAAAAATCAAAGTTCTTTCAGAGTTTTTGTAGAATCAAGAATGACTTTAATACAATTTCAACAAAGTCAGGCTAATCTGCAGATTAGGGCCCCCTCTCTCTCTCTCTTCCCTACCTATATAGTCTCCTTCACACATACCCTATCTTAAAATCCCTCCCTCTTCAGTTTCCCGCTCTTTATCGCTCCGCCCACTTCCTTTGTCTATGATGGCGG